GAAACAAGCCCCACCTGTGATCTTAGCACTGCAATCGGTACTCTGTGATTTGATTACATAAGCCCCTTTTCCACGGCACGGTACTCGCCTCGACTCTACTCGCCTTTTTTGGTTTTCCATTGAAGAAAAGTTGTACCTGTACCTGCCTCCAGGAACTTTCTTTAGTATCGCCTCCGTCGAGGTTCCAAGCGAGCTGAGACGATACTAAAATGTGACGTGAAAACACAGCAGACTGCTGATTGGTCAGAGAGAATTGTCACTGTTGCGCGCACCAGACAGAGGCCAGCAACAGAAAGTTTGATATTTAACAATTTTCATACGTTATTTCATCACTAAATCCTCTGGTCCCCCGTCACACAGACGCTGCAGCAACAACGGCAGAGGAAAACACAGCTGGAAGGTTTTCATACCTCTAATCTGTCTTTACATTCTCAGTAATGTTGAAACATTTTAACTTAAATCAAGAGACAGCTGTGTGGGTCACTGGTGTGTGTGTGTCGCATTGAAAATTACATCGCGGCAGTCGTGTGTGGCCGTAAATGTAAACAAAAATACCTTTGAAGATACAAAACAGTACTAAAGAACATGTAAAATATAGATGCTAATGTTATGATTTCCCCCCATAGTTTGCTAAGGAACGCTAAGTGACCAAGACCAAGTCCTACAGATTCTTTAAAGGTCAGGTTCTGGGAAACTTCAGGTTACAAGTCATTCAAGGTATAATGTGTAATTCCTGGCCACATGCTCCAAACAAATAGAAGGCAGCATTTCACCTTCTTGGATCGGGGGAATTGAAACTCCAGGAGAACAGTGGGGAGAGGGACAGAGATGCAGACATATCCCATAATTAATCAGAATCAGATCATTTAGATCATATATATATGTAATTTAAATCATTTATTGTAGATTATCAGTATTTTCTTGCCAGATTCACTCGTGGCTGTACCTACACCGGCTCGCTCTTTCTGAACAACATCGGCGGTGAAAGGAACATGACGTCAAGGAGCGAGAAGGAGAGCAGCTCGAGCAGCAGCAGTGATCTTCAGGCCCTCTGGGCAGCTCTACTTCGTCGTCCTCTCATGTTGGACTGAGGGCAGACTGGACGCTACAGTGACTCACCATCACCTCACGAGCCACAAGTGATATTATAAGACCGGATGGGCCGATGCTAGCTGGTTAGCAAGCTAACTTTGGTAGACTCCTTCACATTCATTCATGTTCATCGTTTCTTGAATGTTTTTAACTAAAACATCAGGGCAAATCTTACACATTGTACCTTTACTTTAGGCCAGTGATTCACTACCTTCTGACGGAACAGAGACACATTCATAGATTATATTTTAAATATTCACTTTGTAGCTGAAAAGAAACAAAGCTATAATGTCCGTTCAGCTGTGATCTATGGGTGTCAGCTGCCAACACAGCCGTTCATCTCAGTTTTTTCTTTTTGAAATATAGAGCACTCAGTTACTATTAGAATTTATTTCCTACGTGCAGTACACCCCCTTAAGACTCACATATAGTACATTCATGCATTTAATTTCCAGAGAGGTCAGAGGTGAGCGGTTCCCTGCAGCAGCCGGAGGTTCAGCAGCTTCCCCAAGGACACTGTGATGGTGGAGCACATTAACTTTCTGAGAGGATTGACCCTCTGACCTCTGGGTGAACGGGCTGTCAGTAATGTGTTTCCACCACAAAAATTGTATAACCGACAGCCCTGCTAACAAACAGAACGTTCCATGAAATATGTTTCATGTATAAGAATGAAGTTTGGTACAAGAGTGAAAGTCTTTCTAATTAGCTTTGTGCTCTGATAATTTATTTTACTGGTGCATGATGTCAATATTTGCCTGAAGCCCTTTTAAAATGGTCAAACTAATGAATGTAAAAGGCGCGTTCCTCCCCTGGTGTAACTACTTTTAAATATACAGAGATGGTATGAATAAAGACAGTGAGTCTCATCCAAGAACCTTTTTGTATTCTCATCCTAAACCTGTAGTACTTTATTCTCTGTGTGCCTTTGTGAGAGTGTTCCAAGTCAGATTCAGTCAACGTTACTGCACAACTTGTCACAAATTGCTTGTTTCAGCCTGATGAATACCACCTGTTCATGTATTTTGAGCATTAACATAATCAATGCTCCTTTCGTGGGCATGTTTTAATCTCAAAAATGTCACAATGTCAGAGTAGAAACAATAACTTCACACTGCAGAGTGTCAATGCCTACTGTCAGAAATCAGCAGACAAACACAAAACTATTTTAGCAGTGATAGTAAAGGTATTAGGGGTATTAGCAGACCCAGAAAAATGAGGTTAGATGTTAGATGTCAAAAAATGTTTTGCATTTTGTGATCTACGACTAAAATGAAGTCAAAGTAAAGCGAAGTAGAGATGGATGAAAGATGTCACTATGTTACACTGTTGGATGTAATAAAAGAGGATGTTCACCTGGACAGCAACCAGCATAAACAGCCTGAGGCGGCTGCTGGAGTGTGGAAATGACAGCTACTGAACTGCAAGTTGCCATGCCAAAATCCTTGTTCTAATAAAATATTCTTTAAAAGGTTAACACCTCATTAAGTTTTGTTTGTGCCAAAGAGAATAATCTAAATTCAACAAAATTGGTCAATGGTTTCTTAAATCACTTTTAAGGTACCCTGTGGAGTTTGTGAGCACTAACAGCGCTGGAGGTGCAATGCACATTCTTGCTAATGATTTAATGCTATCACCACATGCCACTGATAGAAAGGTGATAGTAATGCATCAAGAAAAGTAGCAGTGCGTCAGCAAAATGCAGAGAAGAAAGCCGCAAGCTAGCAAGCATGGATGTACTGTAAACAAAGTAGATCTGAATGTTTCATAAGGAAGGAAATTCATTCAACACATTTGTTAGGCCCCAAGGACACGCACAATGCTCATTTTGCAATTATTAGGATAGAAACACTAAATATAAACATGAAAGTTGTGTTTGTTTACGCCACAGAGCACCTTTAGAGCGAATTTGTTTACTCAAGGGATTCTTGTACGGGGCCCAGTGTGTTGTAATTGTTAAGCAGTGTGACACAAATAGTCCCATAACACAAAGCTTTAGCATGATGTGCCATTTTTAAATGGGCGGCAACTGCAATTGCATTTGCAGTTGTTTTACAGTTTACAGTCAAATGGCTACAGGCAAGTATTCATAGGCTATAGGCTTTCACTCCATCACAAAGCTGCTGAGGACTGAAGAAGCACGTTGTCATTCAAACATTTTGTCATTATACTGCAGTTTCACCGACAGGATCAGTGGAGACAAAAAATTAACAGACATGTAGTTTTAAAAGAACACTAGTTTTAACATTCAGCGTCATAAATGGGTTATGGTCTGGACACGACCTGTTTAAAAGTGCTATGTGTAGTATTTTGTGTTTGTCAGAGTTTCCTGTCCCGAGGCAGACTATGCTCCTTCCTTGTTTCCCCACCCCATTATTCAGTCTCTGTTTGTTCTGAAGAAGGATGAGAGACAATAATAAATAATAAAACCACACTATAGCTTAAACTGCAGTTCCTCTAATGGCCACAAGATGTTGGCTTTACAAACATATCCTGACGTTACACCTGGGCTAGCATCTGTTCCTCTAACCTCTCACTGAGTTTTTCTTTTGTATCTCTTCCTGAAAAAGTGTCATATACCTGAACACTTAAAGTGTAAGCGACATTCACTACCTCTAAATGTCACACTAGAGCATAGCAAAACAAATGGGCACTACAACCCACCAGACTCCGTTGAGAAAAACAGTAATTTTACCTCACAGATCATCATATAATACACTTCATTTAAACTAGACAGAAAGAAAGTAAAACCAAATTTGTTAGTCTTTCCACTGTTACAACAATCCCCGCCTGTGTTTGGCCTCAATAAATCCTTAATTTGCCACGTTACATGAGAAAAGAAACACCCGTTGTATCGCTTTACTCAAGGACAACAGTTTCACAGCAACGGACTCACATGCATTAACATGCACGCAGCTAACAATGCAAAGAACATAGAAGTTTGGATGACAACACACACACAGAGGGGGTGTGACGTCATTCTCTGCCCAAAACGCCATTACTATATTTTCAAATAGTTGTTTGCTGCTATATTAAAGTTCAAAATCTCTATATAAAGGACCTTTAGCAAAGTTAAACATCTATTTATTTGTCAACACACACACACACACAAGAAAATACAGCTCCAATTCAGCTTTTACAGCGTATCAGCATGCATAATACCTCATTACACTCGTTACACGGTTTGTCCCTTATCCAAAATATCCAGATACAATCTCTTCTAATTTGTCATCATGTAATCTCCATCATCTAAAATATAACACACCCTAATTTAGTTCAGTACTTCGGGGGTTTTGCTGCTGTGGCCTCACCTGGTCTGGTATGATCAGTAGTTCATGGTAGCTAATGCTAGCCAACTTAAGGTAGATATTGAGTAACTGACATGAGTGAGTCTGTTTGGTGACTTTATTGGTTTTCTACTTGTGCTACTGTTACGCTACTCTTCAGCATTCACCATTATATTGTAACTGCCACTTAAGGCTACAGTTTGCCAGCACAAACACTTAAAACTGATAATATCAATGTCAAAATACTACACATAGCACCTTGTAATATGCAGGAGAACAACTGATTTCCATCCACGAAGATCTCAGTCAAAGATCTCAGTCTGGTTTTCACACTTTATAATGATTTTTATTTAATATATAAAGAATATATCCATCTAACTTTATTAATTTCACTGACGTTTCCTGTCTCTTCCAGTCAAGTTAATAATCTTCTTAAAACTGAAAATATGGGCGGCTGTGCTTTCGCGTTTGGTGGCAGAAACGGTGGCCAGTTCAGACCTAAAGGAGCAGTGCGCCTGATGTGGCCACGCCCCCCACATGACACTCCTATTCCCATGGATGGCTCAGCACTGTTCCTCCCCCAGCGAGTCTGTGTTCTCCCCCAGGTCCATGGAGGCTGACATGGCTCTAATTTTGCCCCGTCCAGGACCGGGACCCGGACCCGGTCCTGGGCAAGGACCCGAGCCGAGCCCGGCTCTGGTTCCGCTGTGGCCGGGGTAGACCTCCACGGTGCTGGAGATGGACTGGAGGGAGCGGTCCCGAAAGTAGTGGAAAGCCTCCTGGTCCAGGTAGTTCTGCTCCTCGCGCAGGCCCTGCTCAAACAGCTTTCGTTTGTGTCTGAACTCGATCACCGTCTTGGTGTAGGAGTTGAGGGTGGTGACGGAGGCGGCCATGCAGCAAGTGAAGGAACCCCAGGCCATGCTGGTTGGAGAGAGACACAGACACATGTTGTTGATGAGTGGGTGAGAAGGAAGGGAAGAAGAAGAGTTAATCTCTTTACTCATCCTGATGTACTTTGCCACACTAGGTGTGGCTCTGTGGATGGTAATGTCTTTGTTCGATTTGTTCAATACCTGCAGAACTAATGACAATCAGTCAGTCTCAGGTTTACTTTTTTTTATTTACTTAATATTTGACATTGAGCTCATTTGTAGCTAAAAATGTTGCTATAGTTTGTTTTGATGCCTGACATTGAGCCTGATGGGTGCCAGTAAAAAGGTCAGGGGTTACTAAAATGAGCTAATTTTAATGGCTAATTTCCAATAATCTCTTGAAAAATATCATGATAGAAAAACAGTGACAAGCACAACTGAGGAATGTCTTCAATTATTGTGTCAAATTTTATCCCTAACCTGATCCTTAATATTTGATTGGACAAGTCATCTCTGATTGGCATCTTGGTTTCAAATGATCAGACAAACGTCCATGCTTATCTAGCCAGTGTTGGATGGCTAACAGACAAAATGACCAACGTTGTTGTTGAGGTCCTCTGAGAGGGAGTGGTGACGAGCCAGATGGAGAAATGAGACACTGTGAAACATCTGTGGTGATTCAGTGAATACTCTGAGCTCTTCAGCCTCGGGCTCTGCTCCAATTAAAGTTAGCAGGTACATACCTGATGTGCTTCTAACTGAGAGAGTGTCTGAAGGGAATAGGTGTGATATTAGGTGGTTAAGAGGGAAGCTGATAGTCCCTCTGTGCAGAGTCAATCACTACGTGCCAAGAAAGATGACAAGCGAAGAACCATAAACATGCTGAGCAAGTAAACCGTGAAGAGAGACAAGAACAAAACCCCAAAATGAAGCAAAATGACTGATGCGACCCATCACTCGTTATCTCGCAAAAAAGGAATCCAAACTATGGTAGGATTTCCTTTTAGTTGGTTTAATGTCACAGCCATCAGTCACCTTTTCTCTTTGGTTCATAATTTAAACATTATTGTCTCACAGAGGAAGCTAAAGTGTTATAGTAAAACACAATAAAAAGAATAAAAATAAAGTACCAACTCAGTAAAACAACCAAAATATACACTGAACAAAATAAATAAACGCAACTCTTTTGTTTTTGCCCCCATTCATCATGAGCTGAACTCAAAGACTTTTTCTATGTAAAAGGCCTATTTCTCTCAAATATTGTTCACAGATCTGTGAAAATCTGTGTTAGTGAGCACTTCTCCTTTGCAGAGATAATCATTCCACCTCACAGGTGTGGCATATCAAGATGCTGATCAGACAGCATGGGTATTGCACAGGTGTGCCTTGAGAAATGACGAGAAATGAGAGCAAGAGAGAGAGATAAGGACATTGGAAATCAGCATGCACTCCTTCTCTCTAATAAATAAAGTAATAATTTGTTATTCAGTGAAACACAATACACTGAATTGAACCTAAGTGATATTTATTCTTGATATTTATATTGGCAGCTTTAGGACCAAAATATTTATATATCGAATATGTATATATATCTAAAATGCCATATGGATCAAAGATACATGGCAAATAAAATAGGAAAATTACCGTATTTTTCTACCAGGGTCTTATTATCCTGTTCCATTTAGCGCCTCCTCCTGCACTCCGTTTCTAATAAATACGGACAGCCATCAAAGTGAAAGGAATCAAGACCGTCCTCAAAGTCCACTGGATAACCATCTGTGGCACCTGGTTTTATTGAATCTCCATAGAAGATGTTTATGTAAGCTAACATTCTTTCATATGGCGTTACTTTTCTAGCATCTACACATGGTAAATCAACAGTGACCCACAACCTCACACATGTAAACAAACGTATAACATATGCAGTTACTTACACTTGTTAATGCAGGGTCGCCTTTCTGTGCTTACTCTCGCTCGGACTTAAGCATTTGAAATGATTTATGTAAAACTGAAGTCTTAAATCTCCATAACAGGGGTGCAAAGTTATTATAACCCACAGTCAAAATTATGAGAATAAGATCTAGGTTAAAGCTGTAATTTCCCTTTAAAGCAGCTAATGAAATGTGGATTTTTTAAGGATTAAAACATATGATGGGAATCCCAGCCTGGTACAAACTTACTGTTTTCACTTCACCCTCGGCTGAAATGAAGCTTAAGCTCAGTTTCTAAAGAGCTTTAAACAGAACATGTGAGCGTGCACGTGTTCCCTTTAATCGCCCTCAGAGCAGAGCACATTCACGCTTTTTTATTTGTCCTGAAGGAGCTTTTTGGCCTTCTGCTCCAGTAGAGGTTAATCATTCCTGCTGAAATTACTCCACTTTAAGGACCTGAATGGCTCCCTCATGGTGTTAAATGAGAGGCCTTTACTTGAATGACTGGCAGAGAAAATGTGGGGGGTGATTGTTGCAGATATTTCGAACTTATTCTTGTTTTCCCATCTTAAAATGCTTGTTTATGACTCCTTATGGTTCTCTGTATTTTACTGTTTTATGATGCTTTTTATAATCCATGTGTAATGCTGGCTTTGGTAACTAAATAAACATTATTATTGGGGTTCAAAGTACATTGGTGACCTTGGAAACAGCAGTAACAAAAACAATGTCACCACAAGGTCAATTTAGTAGCTGTTCTGAAGCCTTTGAGCGTCTCACATGATCTTCACCTGCCTGTTCTCAATCTCAAGAATGAATTTGAAGGTGTGAGAGGGATTGTCTGGATGCTGTTCTTCTCTGAGAATCTCTGTCCTTGATCCACAAATGAGCAAAGTGAACAGCTGCAGCTCGGCTCTGCCTTCGAGCAGAGAGAAGGGAAGGTCAAGGTGCGTCTTGTCTGGCTAATTATCCCAGAAGCAACAGTCCCGTCGCTCCCTGTGCTGAAACTCTCCTACAGTACATGCCTCCAGCAACATCCTGAAGAGATGATTTATGATTGACTAAATGGAGGGATGACGGGTCTGGTTGTTCCACATGTTGTGTGTGTGATCGACACCATTGGTCTTTTATTGAAACACTGGATAACAATGTATTAAGTCATTTTAAAACATGTGAAACATTCATCCTTTATTAATAATGCAGGAGTCTATTAACACAATACGTTACAAAATTAGGGCATATTTGTGTGTGGGGAGGCTTGTTTCACTACATTTGTGGGGTCCAAAAACCTAGAATTCCACTAAACTTGTGAGGTCCGACAGCTTTGCAGGGACCAAAATGCTGGACCCCACAAGTTTAAAGGGCTGTCTGAGGGTTCAGACTTGATTTTAGGGTTCAGGCTACAATTGGGTTAAGGTTGGGCATGTAGGTTAAGGTTTGGGTAAAGGGCTAGGATCATTATGTCAGTGACAAGTCCCTACAAAGAGGCTGTGTGTGGGTGCGTGTGCAGACTAACCAGAAGGACCAGCCGTAGTCCCAGCTGTGAGGCCTCCAGTCTTCAGGACCCAGACTGACTGTGATCTGGAACACCTGAGTGTACATCATGTGGGCCACCATACCCAGAAGACCTGCAACACACAAACACACACACGGTCATTACAAGCAACATTTTCTATGTCAAACGAATCCCAAAAAGGCACAAATGAACTATTAACTATTAATAATTATTCTCTATGTATTCATGAAGCAAAGTCACGCTGCCCCAGGTGACTTAAGCTGCATTTAATCGCATCTTTCCATTGACTTTGTATGCAATCACAGCTTGTTTACCAATAAACTTCTTTCAATAACTGATATAATTCTACAGTTGGATTATAATTAATAATTATGTTTTTTTAGCTGTGTTAGCTGCAATGTCAATCCACCACGTCCATCAGGTCTAATGACATTCCAATCAGCCTCAGCTGTACTTTGTGTTTTCTGATAATTAGCTAATGTTAGCATGCTAACATGCTAAACTAAGAAGACATGGTAAGCATTACATCTGTAAACATCAGCATGTTAGCATTATCGTTGTGAGCATGTTAGCATGCTGATGTTAGCATTTAGCTAAAAGCACTGCAATCCCCTATGTACAGCCTCACATAGCTGTTAGCATGACTGTGTAACAATAATAATAATAATCCTTATTTGTAGAGCACTTTTCAAAAACAAGTTACAAAGTGCTTTAACAAGTGTAAAGAATAATACAAAAAAACAAAACAAAAAAAACAAGATAAGAGCATGAAAAATTAATATAAAATTAGTAAAATACAATAAAATAAAAGGGATAAAATAAAGTCAAATAAGATCGGGAAAAGCTCTCCTATAAAAGTATGTTTTAAGAAGGGACTTAAAAGAGTTCACTGACTCAGCCGACCTGATTTCCTCGGGCAGGCTGTTCCAGAGCCTCGGGGCCCTGACAGCAAACGCTCTGTCCCCTTTAGTTTTCAGTCGAGACTCTGGAACAGACAACAGACCTCTGCCCGAGGATCTCAAGGTACGTGCTGGTGTGTATGGGACTAAAAGGTCAGAAATATAACAAGGCGAGAGGCCATGAAGAGCTTTAAAAGTGATCAATAGAATTTCAAAGTCAATTCTAAAACATACTGGGAGCCAGTGTAATGAAGCTAAAATAGGAGTAATGTGGTCATATTTCTTTGTTCTGGTTAAAAGCCTGGCAGCTGAGTTCTGGACAGTCTGGAGTCGATCAATAGATTTTTGGGTTAAACAGGTGAAAAGGCTGTTGCAATAATCCAGGCGTGATGAGATGAAGGCGTGTAAAATGGTCTCGGTGTCCTTAAAAGTTAACATAGATCGAATTTTTGCTATATTTCTAAGTTGATAAAAACATGATTGAACAAGCTTTGTGGTGTGCTGCTCAAAATTTAAATTACTATCAAACCAAACACCAAGGTTCTTTGCCACAGGCTTAATGTGATTTACTAGGGAACCAGCAGATGGCAGTATTTAATTTGCCATCTGCTGGGACCCGATGACCAGGATTTCTGTTTTGTCTGAGTTCAGCTGGAGGAAATTATTTGACATCCATTTTTTAACTTCACAAAGGCAGTTGTTAAGTGAACTCAGCATTCCAGGGTCTGTGGATCTGACGGGCAAGTATATTTGTGTGTCATCAGCATAAATATTAAAAGAAATGCCATGTTTATGGATAATATGTCCAAGGGGAAGCAGATACAAGGAAAACAAAATGGGTCCTAAGACCGACCCCTGAGGCACACCATATTTAACTGGACAGAATGAGAAGACATAGTTGTTTACAGACACGCAAAACTTCCTATTTGACAGGTAGGATGAAAACCATTCTAGGGCAGTACCAGAGATCCACACCCAGTGCCTCAGTCTGTCTAACATGATGTTGTGATCAATGGTGTCAAAAGCAGCGCTCTCGTTCATTTGTGCTTACTGTTAAGACTGAATTTTTGAAATTGCCATTTTCGCACCGGCTGCATGGGGACCTGTAAAAGCCTATTGAGATACATTTGTAATATTGATTTGCCTTTTGTGCCTAAATTAAATTAGCTGGAAGTGGCTCTGTGATCTTGTGTCTAGCCGTCAGCTAGCGAGGGTCATTAGCAAACAGCTCGGACTAAAAGTCTTGACAACTAGAGAATGAACTGCCACAGAATTTCTTAAGAATATTCATGTTCCCAAGATGATGAATGAAAATGACTTTTCCTCTGTCACATCATCAGGTCAGAATTGTCCCTTCACCATGGTAAGGTACAGTATATCTCAAAAACAAATCACTGGATTTCCATAACTGCTGCAGTAGATACTCACGCTCCCCAGAGGATTAACCCTTCTGATTTTAATGGTCCTTTGACCTTTCCTCTACCACCACAGTCAGGGCAAAAGTTCACTTTTATCCCCACTAATGGCAAGGCTCTAAAACAGAGAATCTGCATCTTCAGTATGTTTTCCTGTTCTTGCATAACAACCCTCAGCACAAGATAATCAGCCATGATAATTACCATTAACAAAACAATAGTAAATCAAATTACCTCTAAGTTGCAGCTGAACATAATATCAGTAATAAATCAAAACACATGTAACTATTATAATGAGTCATTACACAGTACCAATTGATTTAACTTGCCAGTTATGAGACATCCAATCAATTAGAGACAGCGATATAATCACTCATAAACATACAGTAAATCAAAAAGCCACAATGTAATTGAGTCAATGAGAGACATTAATGCAGAGGTTCTACATCACCATCAACAGGAGAAACACGGTTTGTTTTCTGTGTGTGTCACACGTGGAAGTGCGTGATGGGTTAGAGCCAGAGTTTGTGATGATTTTCACTGAGGTTGTTGATGCAGCCCCAGATTTACAGTTCACCACAAAGGGAGCATAATTTCTCCTTGATCTTGACAGCCTGACGACAGAGATTTCTAGGAATTGTCCTTCATCTGCTTTGCTATTTGTTTGGCTGTCAGTGATTTAGCTTTTAATATGACCCGTCATGAATGTTTAAGTCCCAAACCAACATACAGAAAGCAGTTTGATATTATTACTTTCAGCAGTAATGAGAAATATACTAATCAAAGAAATTTTGCGATTGCCTCCTTAGTATCACATTACATCGGTTCAAACTAAATCAAGTGTGACTGTGACCAACAACACGGCCTGGTAAAAATGCCTTAAAGAAATGAAATATACAATCCATTAGTGGAAAACTAACAGCAGACTAATTGACTAAATGGCGCCTGACCGGTCTAGACCACTCGTAAATTGGTGAATGCGGCAAGTTATTGTAAATCACTCGCACAAGCCACTTAAGAACAAATATAGGAAGGGTTCTTGCATGAGGTCCATTTTTTGCTGTTCACTCTCCTGCAGACATTTCGGAGCTGTATTAAATTACGGCTGATGCAAACCAAACATTTCCTGTTGCTAAAAGCATTGAACCGGCAAAACATTGGGGGCTTTTATGCTGAAGAAGCCAAAGGACATGTAAAGTAGCTGTCACTGAGGCTAGCACTTATCACTCAAGTAAACAAAACAAGGAAAGCCATTTCCTGCACTTTTCATCTCATGCTTTTTAATATTTTCAACACAGGAATAGAAGAAGAAGCAGAAAAGCAGCTCAATGGAAATATATGTGACAAACAGCACACATCATCATAGCAAACAACTGCTTTTATTAGTTAGTAAAAGCATTAATAAGTTTATTTTTATTCTTTTTATTGTGATTATTTTCATTAGTCAAACGAGGAGGCCATGAATCTTCTCAGCCTGGTTGGTTTAGCTGCTCTGTAAACAGATACACCAGCTCCTCTTTGATCGTAACTGCACTGCAAAATTAATCAGGATAGTAATCTTCGATATAATGATAATAGCAGTCATATGCCTTGGACTCACAAATATGATGACTTTAGACTTGATTTGGCGAAATCAAACACTTTGTTTTTTAATTTTTAAGTTTGAAATGGTATTAAATTTGGTGAAGAGCACATTCTGACTTGTTAAGGACTCAAAATTCAAAGTTTAGGACTTGAGATTTGACTTGGGACTCGTCGGTCTTGACTTCAGACTTGAGTGCTAAGACTTGAGAATTACTTGTGACTTGTAAAACAATGACTTGGTCGCACCTCTGGATCATAGTATAGTACTAAAATAGCAATCTTGAGCAATGAAAACGAGTTCTTACCTCTTTCAATATAAAAGGGTTTATCCATTTTTACCACATTTTTAATTCACTAATGTTGAAAGACCTATAAATTATATTTGTCTGCTAAAATTACATTGTTATGAGTTTTTTCTTTGTATTGATTATGACCAGCTCATCTTTTTTTTCAACCTGTATGTGCTTTTCAAGTCTTGATCATGTTTCAGTAATGCTGCCATGATATTGATTTTCAAAACCTTCATTAACATTTTCCTGTTAAGAGGATATTCATTAGCATCTCATGTCATTAAGATCTGTGATTCAGATCACATCTATCACTTGTGGTGTGATGCGTAAAGAATAGTAATATGATCACAGCTTCTCAGGTTAGCAGTGAAAAGCCTCTAAAATGGGCTCTAAAAAGAATCACCGGCTGTTGGAAACATCCTCAGAGAGGCATGAGGAGGAGATGAGCAGTGAGCAGCCTGACACAGAGCCAACTTCTTGTGTAAGAGGTTTAACATGAGTTGGGAGAAAAATCAAACCTCTGACCCTGGAAGACCTCTCACAAATCTGCATCAGTCCCTGTCCACCCCTCGTTATGCTCAGAGCATTTCTGAATGAGGAACTGCGTTAGAGGAACATGATGTCTGTCAGTGTTTATGTTGTAAACATACTAAAGTATTACTTCAAATCAGTATTATTAACCAACAAGATCCCACTTATATTACAAATTCTCTTTTTCAAGGAAAACATGTTCAAGACAAAAACATCTACATGTATCTACCGACAGGACAGGACAGGACACACAGTAGTGATTTCTGCGACAACTTCGCCCACTTTCACAGTAGAAGAAGAAGTCAGGTCCTTTGGTTCAGTAAAAGTACCAATGCAACAGTGCAGAACTCCATTTCAAGAAAACGTATTGCAATCAATTTCCAACTTAAGTAAAAGTACATAAGCAAACTGCAGTTACACTGAACAAAATTATAAACGCAACACTTTTGTTTTTGTCCCCATTCATCATGAGCTGAACTCAAAGATCTAAGACTTTCAGGCCTATTTCTCTCAAACACTGTTCACAAATCTGTCAAAATCTGTGTTAGTGAGCACTTCTTCTTTGCTGAGATAATCCATCCACCTCACAGGTGTGACATATCAAGATGCTGATCAGACAGCATGGGTATTGCACAGGTGTGCTTTAGGCTGGCCACAATAAAAGGCCACTCCAAAATGTGCAGTTTAGTCATAAATGTTGTGTGAGTAAAACGTACGATATTTACCCCTGAAAAGAATAATACTGTATATTAAGCAGCAGAAAATGGAAGTTCAAGTACCTCAAATCTGTACTGAGTTTCTTTCGACCACTGTACTTCAACTGTGCATGGAGAAGTTAAATAGTCTTAAAAGTTAAAGGCCTTTGTGGTGTCTTACCCGACAGCACGGTGAAGACGGCGGCAAAGGCGTTGAGTTTGAGTCCGTCAATGACGTTGCTGGAGTGGAAAAGCTCGAGACACATCAGGCTGAAGCCGACCACCAGCAGCAGGATGTAGAGTACCTCAGACACCACCGACAACCACAACACACCTGCAAACACAACACACACATCTCAGTTAAGCAGGCTGTGCTACAGAGGAAACACACATTTACAAAAGACTGAACAGCGTGAAATGACACGTGAGGAGCCTTTCATGAGTTCTCACTTTAAAACGAGTCAGAAACATAAATAACGTCTGCAAGAGAGGAGGAGACCAAGACCAATTTAAGCAACTGATGACTGATTAGAAATGAGAAGCTGCTTATGTTTACTTTTGCGTGAATTCAAAGACATTTCGTAACTAAGTAAGAGTTTTGAATGGTAAATCTCGCTGCCACTGATATCACTGTGAACTGCAAATGTGCCATGTCAGAGTGCAACACTGACTAGTAAAGAAAAATTTGCTGTTTCAGAGTTTTTTTCACTTGAAAATAAACATGAGATGCTCCAAATGTAGAGATATCAAATAATAAACTATAATATGCCACTTTTTCCTCCCCATTAATTGAACTGTACGTTTTCTGAACCCAGGTATAGACGTTTTGGAAAAAACATGACATTCTCAGCTGCACAGCAGGATTTGCAGCAATGTAAATTAATCACTATGTTCAGCATTATGGCTTAGTTTAAAATGTTCTTAAATTAAAATCTTAAATAAAAGTCTGTTTGGAGCTGGCATTGTCAGATGATACACAAAGACTGGGATTGGTGCCAGAAGAGGATATACATCAAACTGACTGCAGCAATGACTTGTGGGAGAGGTTTCTTCTTATTCTGACTACATTTTCCTTTTAGCTCTGAGTCACTTTCTCAGACATGCACACTGATACAGAAGTTCACAAAAAGAAACAGAGTTGGGTTGAAAGAGCTCCTGAACTCTAGAGGTCAGGGTTTTTGAATTGTCAAACATCTGAAGCATTTCCACTTGGCGCTCAGGGAGAAAAACATGAAGACCTGCTAAAGAGGTGAAAATCTCTCTGTAGTGAGAATACAGAGGCCGGATTCAGGGGGCTCATAGTTAGATTGAAGGAGCTCATTTGACCAAACACTCAGCAGTGTGTCAAAGTGAAGACAAAGTAAATATGGAGTGTTTTGTGAGTTACTAAGAGGACTAAACCAAAACAATGCAAGTTTTTTACACCATAGATCACAGCATATAAAGAGAAACAGAAGCAAAAAAATTAACAAAACTTTAACAAAACAACTTTAACAAAACATGACAAACTTCTTAATGCACTGGTGTATAACCAAATTATGCATAATGCTAAAATAAAATGTATGCACAGCCAATGTGTAGCCATGCAGTGGAAAGATGAGCAATCACCTACAACTACTAGATGGACCAATGAAGTAGCATCATGTTTACCAAATGAAAGAATAATGGATAATCTGAAGGGTAAGCCTGGTGAATTTAAAAAGATTTGACATCTCACTCTTTTTATATTATAATTTTTGAATCGACAGTCATATCAGAAACAGACATGTGTTTTATAGTTGTAATGACTTATACTTTCTTTCTTTTTATCCAATACCCCTGAATCTTTTTGCTCAACTGCTCTATCTATACCACTGTGGTAACTAAATTGCATCACGTTTTGGCTTTTTTAATTTTTTTATTTACACATCTTTGTATTATCATGTACCAATGCTAGCTGCCCATTTTCTCAGACACAGCGGTTGGACCCCAAGGGGTGGGGAGTATGTGGGTGGCTAGGTAGGTAAATGGTGTTGAGAGGGAGGGGTGGGATGATCTGGCATTTATTTCATTTTTATTTACTTTGTGCATTGTTGTGTTTGTGAGATCAATGGTTGTTTTGCTATAAACTAATAAAGATAATGTTGAATCTCAATTATTCAGGTGATATCCAAATGAAAAACTGAAATATATATCTTTGGTAGGAAGAAACGCTGACTGTCGGCACTCTTCTTGACTCTCTGTCTTTAAAAACTAAAATCCAAGTCCTCTGTTCCTGCTTGACTTGTTTGACTGAACTTTAACAGCCACAAATCCGTAAGTCTGGATAATATCATCTTAAAAATAACAAGAATCAGAGTGCCCATGCTTTCCCCAAAACAACTTCATCTCCTTCATAATGTTGCTGATGAGTCCTAACAAAGACTAATAAAAACTGTCAGTGGTGGCTAAACTGAAAATCTTTGTTCAAGTAAAAGTAAAAATTACCATTTGACAAATCTACTCAAGTAAAATTATACGTACTTTGTCAATAAACTACTCAATGTAAAAGTTACTTAGAGTGTGTTGACCATAGATCTTCATAAACCTTTTTTTTGCTGCAAGTCCAAGGCAAGTCTCACATCTCTTATTGGAATAATTAATGTTTCAGCTGCTGTGCATCAGGTTAGAAATAGTGTTATTTCTATGAAATGGCCTTTGCTTTGCATGTTGATTATGTCTAATTTAGCTATTTCTGTTTAATACAATAATTTTACCAGTTTTGTTCACCTGCATGAAGGTATAAATAAGATCACTTTGAAATATCACACTAGCTAGCTGCCTACTGTTATTTCCTGTATCTGTTATGGACATGCAGCCAGCCAAACCACTTGCTTTGATATGAAGACTGCTTCATTTGATTTAACTTCTCCAAAAGCTCAGGCAGCCAATCCAATATGATTATTCCTAAAAGTAGTAAGAATTAATGTGGCAATAACACGGGAGCCTTTATACAGTAGGAGACCTTTGTGTCAAACGTGAAGCCGCCCATACTTCTCTTCATAGGCTTCTCAAAAATGACTGTTTCCTAAATAAGTAACAGTTATTTTTAATGAATTCACTATCGGGCATTGCTATGAAACAACGCACACAGCTTGGGCAGCACATTTCTTTTAAGGTAGCAAAATAGTTGATAACAGACTACTTATAATGAAGGTATAAATGGCAAATTAGCGAAGATAAAATTAGATTGCTGGCCCCAAAAAAGAATTGTAATGTTTTCAAAAGAAAAACGTGAAAAAAACCCTACAAATATATATACTCCGTTACTTGAATTACAACTCACCCCTGAAAACTGAACACATTAAACCAAATATCAGGTCTCTGCAATGGCTCTCGGTGTGTCACGCATTACTGCTGCTTGTCTATACATTTCACAGTGAATAAAATCTATATCTGACTGTCTTTATCTGTATGAACCCTCTCGGGCTCTCAGGTCATCTGGTAATGAGTGTAACTAAACATGTAACATTAGTTGTGCACCACAGAGCTGGAACAAACTCCCAGATAATATAACTTGACTTATTTTTAATCCAGCATAAAAACTTCTCCTCCAGTTTTGACTTTGAGCACTAACCATTATCCGCCATGCATTTACATATTTACCTTTCAAATACTTATTTCTCTGCCTTTATCTTCTTAATTTCTTTTAAAATGATTTGCAATGTTTATATTTACATTTTAATGATAATTGCAGTATTTACTAAATGTTTAAAAGCACTCTGAACTTCTTTGTGTATGAAATGTGCTCTACAGGTAACTTCCCTTGCCTTTTTTTTTCTAATAAAAAGTCAGTGTTGACCTTCACTCCTGGTCCTTTCAGACGGATGTGGATATTAGACTCCCATTGTTGTTGTATTTTTGTCCTCCAGGCACAAACTGAGGGTGGGGAAGTTGGATCTCTCCATTTATTCTGTCGCCATTCATTCACCCAGTGTTTGGTAACCCAGAAACTCTGATGAATGTTTTGGAGAATGATGATACATCTCTCCGCAACAGGCGAGACATGACACTTAGAGCTCAAAACAAGGTGAAACATTTGTTTCTGATACGCCCACAGGAGGAGGACAAGGTGTATTTGATTTCACCACCTGCTTGTGTGACACAGTGATTTGCTCTTTACTGTGTCGGCGGGGCCCTCTGGTCACACAGAGCTGTACTCCAAGAGGGGGAGAAAAAAATTCCATCAGAGCAGAGAGAGACATTATGCAGGGTGATGAACAAGTTTTACAACCTTCCTGTACTTCTTCACGCTCTGGAAATGTGAACATTTTTAAGGCAGAGCGGAGCTGTCATCCTGCAGTCGAAAGCTGCCCTCGGGATCCACTCTCACTACTGGACCTCTGACTTTTTTCTCTCCACATTTATAATTTCTAAAAGGCAGAAGCTCCTTTGAATAGCATCAGGCTCATGACCCAGCATTAAACAGGATTATCTGCTCTGCTCCGCTCTGTTGTGGATGTAGATGAGTTGGAAGTGCAACTCCAGGCCACAGTTTTCAATTTGAACATCAGTGAGTTTGGGCGAGCTACAGGATCCTTGAAGAGCCAAACCTGACAGCTATATTTGTGTCACACTTCTCTCTAGGCAGAAAAAGAGAAAAAGAAAAAAAGAAAAAGAAGAAACAATACAGTGCAGCCAAAATTGTAATTAATATCGATGGCAGAAGAAATGAAGAAATGACTCAGATAAGTCAAGTTGTGTTTAAATTCTGGGAACAGCAGACCAGTGGCAGATAACCAGAAGTATCTTGTGGGGTGATATTAAAAAATATTATATATTAATGAATTAGGCTGCATCATTAAAACTTAAAGAAACTTTTTAAAAATCATTTTGATGGCACACTGAGTCGATGCACTATGTAGCATTGGAATCCCAGGAACCCTATCTTGACAAAGGTGTAATGCTTTATGGCCCCAACGCAACTCAACATGCAAGCTACAAGAAGTAGCTAAATGTATTTCATGTACAATGGAAGTTCTTTGGAAGAAGCTAGCTCAGTATTTTCAGTATTGATATCACGACAGAAGCGAAGCGAGGAAGAGAAAAAGTGAGTGACCGAGCCAGAGACTGGACAAGAGTAAACAACAGACTGGATTTTATTCAATGGCGGGAGCTGAAAGAGCTGAAAGGATGCAGGACAGATGCCGAGTTGACCTTGCTGTTGGACTAGTCAGTAATAACTTATTGGCTGGCTGCTGTGTCAACTCGAGCTGAATCGGCCAGATGTTTAGCCGTTAGCCATAAATCAGGGGTTGATGTTAGCTGACTTGGACACACACTCGCATCAGTAGCTGTCTGTAGGTAGCTAGGCTA